GGGGGGGGGAGCGGGAGGGGATATGGTAGGGGTAGACGCTGGGATGGAAGGGGGAGAGGAGGATTTGCGGGAGGGGATATGGTAGGGGTAGACGCTGGGATGGAAGGGGGAGAGGGGAGGATGTGGTGGGGGGGGGAGCGGGAGGGGATATGGTAGGGGTAGACGCTGGGATAGAAGGGGGGAGGGGAGGATGTGGTGGTGGGGGGGAGCGGGTAGGGGATATGGTAGGGGGTAGACGCTGGGATAGAAGGGGGGAGGGGAGGATGTGGTGGGGGGGGGGTTAGCCGCTGGTACAAAAGGGGGGGGGGGTAGATTATGGTGAGGGGTCAGGGGCACCGCTCCAGTGCCAGGTAAGTCCGCTACGGGCTCACCATAGCCCGTGCTACTTGGAACTTGTTCCGAGTAGCTGAATCTATAACAACATATGGTGAGGGTATTACGGGGCTATTCATGCCCGTGCCACCTCTTGGGTGGCTTAATCTTTATCACTCAATCAATCAGTGAGGGTAGACGATTTTCAATGTTAGTAACGCTATTATGATTAGTAAAACCGGCGTGTTTTTGTGTGTATATATACAAAACCGGACAAAAATAAATGGATTGGAGACTTTTGAACATTTACCTAACCGGTAGACCAAACCATAGAAAACGTGAATGAACAAATCCACAAGGGCCGTGACGAGGATTCGAACCTGCGTCCAGGAGCAGGTTACGTGCTTAACAAACGTGAATGTTCGTGAGCCGCTGTGATTTACAACACATCATAGTTCGTCCGTTGGGGGATTTTGACGTCAAAACCCGGTATGTTATCCGAGAGAACAGGATAATTTATGATCATTCCACTTAAGACTGGTAAAGGCACGGCTACGTTTCTTGCAAGGTCGACGTTCGATCCCCCAATGGTCCTTATAACTTGGTCCTAATATCCCATTCATTTTAAGTGCTATAGTCACATTGACTTGGCACTTTCTCCAAATAATATTATATATCTTATATAATATACATATTGTATAATATACCTAAGGTATATTATCTTGATATACCTAAGGTATATCAAGATATACCTAAGGTAGCCTTACCTTAATTTACCTAAGGCAAGGTCACCTGTAGCCAAGAGAAACAGTGTAATTATACGAAATAAAAATTTTAAGAGCATATATTGCTCAGTAATGTTCAAAATGTTCACTCGACAGAGAATGTTGAGTTTGGCAACACAGTGACTAAATGCAGGCGAGGAGTCACAATAACGTGGCTGAAATATGTTGACCAGACCACACACTAGAAGGTGAAGGGACGACGACGTTTCGGTCCGTCCTGGACCATTCTCAAGTCGATTGTGAATGTCTCAAGTCTCACAATCGACTTGAGAATGGTCCAGGACGGACCGAAACGTCGTCGTCCCTTCACTTTCTAGTGTGTGGTCTGGTCAACAGTGACTAAACACCAATATCACTCCAGGAGGTCCTATTGTTCCTATTGGTCCTATTGCACAGATATCCTATTGCACAGAGGTCCTTTTGCACAGAGGTCCTATTGCACAGAGGTCCTATTGCACAGAGGTCCTTTTGCACAGAGGTCCTATTACACAAAGGTCCTATTGCACAAAGATCCCATTGCACAGTAGGAAACATATATAGGTTTACCTCTTGTTGGTGTAGACCTATGAGCGGTTTACACGACAAGACAACTATAGCAACCTCACGATAACCCAAGAGTAAGGTGTAGAGTATGAACACCGAGTCCGAGCCATCACAGTCGAGGAGATCACCAGGCATAACGGTATAGACCCATGTTAAACCAACGGGTGTCTGAAAATTCCAGCAACTTAAATGGAAATTCCAAAATAGATGAACCAGAGGGTGAAATTGATCTTCCTGTTCCGTCTATAGCCGCACTGGATAGGGGGAGGAGAATGAGGTGGTTAACATCCGGGCCATATATGATGTGTTTCAAGCGTAGGTTAGACATAGAATGAATTTTAGTGGATATATAAATTGGAGCTGTCTAGAGTAGGTCAATAGGTCTTCTTTCATTTACTTAATTCTTATTTTTTTAATGTATGGTTTGGAATATTTTAATTTTTTATTTGTTTTTGGTTCACACCTGTTAAAGTTCTCTGATGTGCAAATTGATTCCTTACGTGATATTCCGTAAATATATTCCGTGATATTTTGTCTTGAGGTCATTCACGCTAGCTAAGTGTTTAGGTATCTAATTGTTAGGTATCTAATTGTTTGCAGGTTTTCAAGCTCTGCTATTTCTGTTATCTAATTTCTTGAACTTTTTCTTGAACTTTCTGTAGGTGTTTAATTCTCACGTTTTATTTTCTTTTGGTATTAACATATTTAGGAATATGCATATCAATGCAGCTGCCATTGAATATATATATGAAGGGTTACCTAGGTTGTGTCAAGAGCTAGTTATGAAGTACTTTAAAACTCCCCATCACACAGGTGTGGTTAGTCATACAGGACCATGTGTGATCTGCACTGTCAAACTTTGGATGTGTTACGAGGATATCGAACGTGGGAGTGAACGAAGCTGAAGTTAGCTCTTGGGTGCCTTATACAGGTAGGTTTGAGGGACTCCAGGTACCTTATACTGGTAGGTCTGAGGGACTCCAGGTGCCTTATACTAATAGTTCTGAAAAGTCTAATGATTGGACAGACAATAAGACCAAGCTATAATAATCTCCCCAGTGATTGACTTTGCATATCTGACCCGAAATATTTATAGTTCCAATTTGTCATTGTTAAAAAAAATTCTTTGTTCAGCTTGGGATTTAAATTCACTACAGATTTGAGATTGTAAAGACGGAGTTTTGAAACTGAGAGTTTACAAGTGTCATTCTGTTTCACGCCATCTAATTAGTATGACAAACTAAAGATATAGCTTATATTCCTTCATCTGGTATGCTTCCTCAAATTCAGAAATGGTATGCTACTCTGAAGCCAATTTGACTGAAGAACTTAAGCTGTCAAGAATTCTAAAATGTACTGGAAGGAAGCGAGAGATACATAGTCTCTGCGATCACTCATATTAGTAATGAACGAATGCATGTGAAGAAAAATGAAAACATGGAGATGATTTACACAAAAAAGTATTTTATTTAAGTGCCATCCACCGCTCTATGACTTAAATAGATAAGCAATTAAGTGATGGATGAGCAATGATAATGTAAGGTGCTCGGTGGATGTAACCTCTACTCTGGATGTATTTTGGAGAAGTTGCTGGAGCAATCCACTTGTGAAGTTTGTGTTATGTTCTATGATAGAGAGAATAGTCAGTGTTCCCAGTCTTCCTCTTGGGAGGCAGTTGCAAGGGGAAGACTTTGTGAGACGATTAAGGCAGCGTCGGGGGCTCCTCACAGACGTAGGTTCGAACCCTCGTCACGGCCCTTGTTGATTTGTTTAAGACTTTGTGAGCCTCCCCGGAACAATTCCTCTGTCTTTGAAGCTTCTCAAGTTAATTCCTCCCGTCCTTACCCGCAACTTACTCCACTGTAGAGGCAATCACCTTAATGCACCACACACCAACAAGCCAATCACTAGCAATTACCGTGGCGCATCGTCAGGCTTTGTTTAGGACGCAAGAGTAACGAGACGACGCAAAAATGCAGCAGCTCCTTGCGTCATCAAGCGACTGGCCGTGAAGCACGGCACTCGCTGCCAAGACAAAGCTGGCTCTACGTGGATTAAGTGACGCAGTACCCGCAGGTGAGTGGCAGGTAAGGCCTTCGATGAGCCGCAGTGGTGCAACCAATGCAACATTGCACATGCACACCGCCCCCCCCTCACTATCACCATTATCACGTCATCACCGCAGGCTCCCCCCCCCCCAAAAAAGCCTTTTTCCTGCCTATTATTTCCAAGTAACTGCCGCCTATTCTTCTTATCCTGATATTCAGTTTATTATTTATGAATTGCCTCCAAAATAGAGCAATTCTGAAAGGATGTTCCCCGAATATAATTCCCAGTTATAAGAACATTCGCGTAGATGTGATTTTATAGAGTTTTCTCCTATATAATGTATTCCTTTGATAAGATTTATTCTCTATGTTGACCAGACCACACACTAGAAGTTCAACCCGTTCTCGCAAATTTAATAAGTCAATATTGACTTATTAAATATGTGCATAGGTGACATACTTAACATAATAGTTTCCCTTGAAAAGCTTCATAGAAAACACCGACCTTACCTAACCTACTTAGTATGTTAAGATAAGCATCTTATTGCTTCGTAATTACAATTATTACCTAACCTATACCTATAATAGGTTAAGTAACAATTGTAATTACGAAGCTATAAGATGCTTATTTTAACATACTAAGTAGGTTAGGTAAGGTCGGTGTTTTCTATGAAGCTTTTCAAGGGAAACTATTATGTTTAGTATGTCACCTATGCACGCAACTAATAAGTCAATATTGACTTATTAAATTTGCGAGAACGGGTTGAGAAGTTGGAGGGACGACGACGTTTCGGTCCGTCCTGGACCATTCTCAAGTCGGTTGAGAATTTATTCTCCATGTCATCAACCAATGTCATTAGCTGTATTTATGAGTATTAATCCCCTTTATTGTTCCCCCCCCCCCCCATCCCCTGTGGTAACTGTCAATGGCCCGTGATAATATTTTTTCAATAACTAAGCTTAAAGCATTGAAGTTATATTTGATTCAGTGCAAGACGATGTTGGCTTCCCAGGTAGAATGCTAGATAAACTTGCATTTCCAAATACAGTGTAGAAGAGGCTGGATTTTCAGGCAGGATAATGAAGAAGGATTTTGTCCTGCAGGAAAATAGCTGAGCGTGGATTATTTTTCCCTGGAAGAGTTCTAAAAGAGGATGGTTCTTTAGGTAGAGTGCTTGACAAGGATGGTTCTCCAGAGTGCTTGACAAGGATGGTTCTTCAGGTAAGGTGTTTGATAAGGATGGTTCTACAGGTAGAATTGTTGACAAGGATAGTTCTCCAGGCAGAGTGCTTGACAAGGATGGTTCTTCAGAGTGCTTGACAAGGGTGGTTCTCCAGCCAGAGTGCTTGAAAAGGATGGTTCTCCAGCCAGAGTGCTTGACAAGGATGGTTCTCCAGGCAGAGTGCTTGAAAAGGATGGTTCTCCAGCCAGAGTGCTTGACAAGGATGGTTCATCAGGCAGAGTGCTTGACAAGGATGGTTCTCCAGGCAGAGTGCTTGACAAGGATGGTTCTCCAGCCAGAGTGCTTGACAAGGATGGTTCTCCAGGCAGAGTGCTTGAAAAGGATGGTTCTCCAGCCAGAGTGCTTGACAAGGATGGTTCATCAGGCAGAGTGCTTGACAAGGATGGTTCTCCAGCCAGAGTGCTTGAAAAGGATGGTTCTCCAGCCAGAGTGCTTGACAAGGATGGTTCTCCAGCCAGAGTGCTTGAAAAGGATGGTTCTCCAGCCAGAGTGCTTGACAAGGATGGTTCTCCAGCCAGAGTGCTTGACAAGGGTGGTTCTTCAACCAGAGTACTTGACAAGGGTGGTTCTTCAGGCAGAGTAATTGACGAAAGTATAGCTCAAAGATGATGACTTTAATCACAGGCTGGGATGCGGAGTAATTACTTTTATCGTACGTAATATCGCATCTTCATTTTTGTAATCAACTTAGACTACAAGACAGACAGGACAGTGTTGGCTGTGACTGACAGCTCGCGGCGTCCATTGCTGACGAAGAGAGCGGAAAACAACAATTTTGAATAAAGACTCAATCACACACACATTGGGGGAAAAAACAAATGAATCCCGCAACGCCTTCATGTGTAGTGTGTGTGTGTGTGTGTGTGTGTAAATACCTACCAGCTCCTTCTCCCGATTTACCACTTTGTAAACAACTTACAACTGTTTTACTTAAGCAGAAACCTGCATGAACCCGAGCAACCCAACCAATCGAAACTGGTGCCTCACTTGTGAATCGAAAAGCTGTGAGGGTTTGGAGACATGAAGCTGAAATCTCTCTCTCTCTCTTTCTCAGAGGGATTCCCGGTTCAGCCTGGCCGACGAGAGGGACGTCTGGAGAGACGGCTACGTCTAGGGGGGGCTTCCTGAAGCACGTCACGGAACGCGGGTTGGCCCATAGGGTCTTGACCTATGAGGCCTGGAGGAGGAGGAGGACCAGGACGGTCAACCAGGAAGCCTGGTCGAGGACCGAGCCACAGGGACGCTAAGCCCCGGAATCATCGCAAGGTTGACACTGCCGTTTGGCATGCCTATTCAACGGTCCGGATCGTTACTGCGCCTGGCGCACGCACGCACACGCACGCACGCACACGCACGCACACACACACACACGCACGCACACACACACACACACACACACACACACACACACACACACACACACACACACACACACACCGGCCGGTGGTCACAGGAAAGTTGAAGACGAAGCTTCAATATATTGAAGCAAGTTTATATAGATTTTGCCCGCTTTCTTCATGGTTCTTCGGGTGGGGAGACGGTGTCCGTACACCAGTTGATTAACAACTGAGAGGCGGGACCAAAGAGCCGAAGCTCAACCCACCGCAAAGACAAGTAGATACACACACACACGCAGAGTGCCACACACCCCATCAAGCTGACCACATACGCTTGAGAGAGAGAGAGAGAGAGAGAGAGAGAGAGAGAGAGAGAGAGAGAGAGAGAGAGAGAGAGAGAGAGAGAGAGAGAGAGAGAGAGAGAGAGAGAGAGACACAGAGAGAGACAGAGAGACAGAGAGAAAGACAGAGAGACAGAGAGACAGAGAGACAGAGAGAGAGAGAGAGAGAGAGAGAGAGAGAGAGAGAGAGAGAGAGAGAGAGAGAGAGCCAGAGAGACAGAGAGAGAGAGAGAGAGAGAGAGAGAGAGAGAGAGAAGAGAGAGAGCGAGGGAGACAAAGAGAAAAGAGAGAGAGAGAGAGAGAGAGAGAGAGAGAGAGAGAGAGAGAGAGAGAGAGAGAGAGAGAGAGAGAGAGAGAGAGAGAGAGAGAGAGAGAGCGCGAGAGAGAGAGAGAGAGAGAGAGAGAGAGAGAGAGAGAGAGAGAGAGAGAGAGAGAGAGAGAGAGAGAGAGAGAGAGAGAGAGAGAGAGAGAGAGAGAGAGAGAGAGAGAGAGAGAGAGAGAGAGAGAGAGAGAGAGAGAGAGAGAGAGAGAGAGAGAGAGAGAGAGAGAGAGAGAGAGAGAGAGACAGAGAGAGAGACAGAGAGAATCTCCTCCACAGTAAGAGAAGCGGGTGAAGGGAAATACAAAGCCCAACCTCAAGTCAATTTGACTCCAAGTTTCACACCATTGACAGTTTACCCCCGGTCGGCCAGGTAAGGTCCAAAGTTGAAATTGGTTCGTCTCAACTCATTAGTCGCACAATACCGGCGACAGAACGGCCGACTCGTCATTCGCTGGCTAATTAGCATACACCAACTTGATCAACGCAGCCACTCGCTGAAATTGCATAGTTACGGCTTCTTGGGTTGCCATAGGGCGCCTCCAGGTACGAATGGGCAGTGGGAGAAGTAGGCAGCCAAGGTGGTGGTTGTGGTTGGCTAGGCCAGGTGGAAGTAGCCTGAGATGGGAGGTTATGTGCGCCTGGCAATGTATGGGAGGAGGGTAAGTTATGGCAAGATTCTTGGCATAGCCAAATACTAGAGGAAGGCGCTGATTGGCAAGGCCAAAGATGATGAAAGTTAGTGTATGAGAGATTTTTTTTTACTGGTGTAGAGGAAGGGGGCTTGCCTAGAGGCTTGCCAAGAGGGTTGCCAAGATAGTCAGTGAGGTAGTAGGTGGTTGACTTGGCCAGTGTCTACACCACCTGAGTTTTGAGAGAGCTGCCAGATAAGTCATTATCCCAGGCTCATTCTGGCCACTATAGCATATCCCATGGGCCGAGTTCTTACTCTAATACTTCCATATTATATATATATATATATATATATATATATATATATATATATATATATATATATATATATATATATATATATATATATCACCGTCTCCTCACGCAATTCCTCGTAATAATTAATGCTACAACTTTCAGGTCTTTGTGAATTTGTTAGGTCAGTAAGATTTGCATCAGATATTTGTTTTAATAGACCCTTTGTCACAGCTAATGAAACACCTGTATTGATTTCTATTACTGGTTTATTGCAGGCTGTCTTTGCAAGCATGTCAACAGTATGACATGCTTGCAACAGTATGACAACTTTGAGATGTCAACTAGTAATGATATCAAGAGGAATTTAATCATAAAATCAATTTTGATGTGGTAGTTATGGCAAGATTTGTTTAATTGTTCGTTTTAAACAATTGGCAGGAATAAGTGGTTGGTTAGCAGAGCAGATAACGGCAGAGGACACCTTAGGTGCCTCGGTGGTGGTGGTGAGCGCTTACTTGGTTAGGCCAGAGAGAGGTGGTGAGGGTATGTAGCTACACCAGGTGGTGGACGAGAATGTATTTGGCTATACCAGCTGGTTGGCGTGATTTATGTGGCTATACCAGGTGGTTGGCGTGATTTATGTGGCTATACCAGCTGGTGAGCATGAAAGCTAATGCCACCAAGCTAATCACTACCCCTCCCCCCATGCCCAACTCTCCCCCATGCCCAACCCCTCCTCCATGCCCAACCCTCCCCCATGCCCAACCCCTTCCCCATGCCCAACCCCTTCCCCATGCCCAACCCTCCCCCATGCCCAACCCTCCCCCATGCCCAACCCTCCCCCATGCCCAACCCTCCCCCATGCCCAACCCTCCCCCATGCCCAACCCCTTCCCCATGCCCAACCCTCCCCCATGCCCAACCCTCCCCCATGCCCAACCAACCCCTATGCCCAACCCTCCCCCATGCCCAACCAACCCCTATGCTCAACCCTCCCCCATGCCCAACCCTCCCCCATGCCCAACCAACCCCTATGCCCAACCCTCCCCCATGCCCAACCCTCCTCCATGCCCCAACCTTCCTCACAGGGAGCACCCAGACCCCTGGGGGTTGCCTCCACTTGGTCTTTGATCATTGCAAACTTGATCTTATTACTGTCGACGAAGGGCTCGACCTGATGCTTGGGGGGCTTCTCCCGTACGCTTGGGGGTAGGGGGGTAGGGGGGTAGGGGGGGGGGTTAGTGGAAGAAGTGAGGGGGGTTAAGAAAGGAGGGGTTGGAGGTGGTAGGGGGAAGGATAGCAGAGGTGGGGGGTGGTATAAGAGGGGGGGGGTAGCGGTGGGGTTGGAGTGGGGGTAGCGGGAGTGGGGGGGGGGAAGGAGAGGGGGTAAAGGTGTGGGCAGGTGTGGAGGGGGGGGGTGGATGGGCAGGGGGAGGAAGGGACATGGGTAGGGGGGATTGCTGTATAAGGAGGGGGTCACAGATAGTGTGTGTGTGTGTGTGTGTGTGTGTGTGTGTGTGTGTGTGTACTCACCTAATTGTACTCACCTAATTGTGCTTGCGGGGGTTGAGCTCTGGCTCTTTGGTCCCGCCTCTCAACCGTCAATCAACTGGTGTACAGATTCCTGAGCCTATTGGGCTCTATCATATCTACATTTGAAACTGTGTATGGAGTCAGCCTCCACCACATCACTTCCTAATGCATTCCATTTGCTAACTACTCTGACACTGAAAAAGTTCTTTCTAACGTCTCTGTGGCTCATTTGGGTACTCAGCTTCCACCTGTGTCCCCTTGTTCGCGTCCCACCAGTGTTGAAAAGTTCATCCTTGTTTACCCGGTCGATTCCCCTGAGGATTTTGTAGGTTGTGATCATGTCCCCCCTTACTCTTCTGTCTTCCAGTGTCGTGAGGTGCATTTCCCGCAGCCTTTCCTCATAACTCATGCCTCTTAGTTCTGGGACTAGTCTAGTAGCACACCTTTGGACTTTTTCCAGCTTCGTCTTGTGCTTGACAAGGTACGGGCTCCATGCTGGGGCCGCATACTCCAGGATTGGTCTTACATATGTGGTGTACAAGATTCTGAATGATTCCTTACACAGGTTCCTGAACGCCGTTCTGATGTTAGCCAGCCTCGCATATGCCGCAGACGTTATTCTCTTTATGTGGGCTTCAGGAGACAGGTTTGGTGTGATATCAACTCCTAGATCTTTCTCTCTGTCTGTTTCATTAAGTACTTCATCTCCTATTCTGTATCCTGTGCCTGGCCTCCTGTTTCCACTGCCTAGTTTCATTACTTTGCATTTACTCGGGTTGAACTTCAACAGCCATTTGTTGGACCATTCACTCAGTCTATCCAGGTCATCTTGTAGCCTCCTACTATCATCCTCTGTTTCAATCCTCCTCATAATTTTTGCATCGTCGGCAAACATTGAGAGGAACGAATCTATACCCTCTGGGAGATCATTTACATATACCAGAAACAGTATAGGTCCAAGGACTGACCCCTGCGGGACTCCACTTGTGACGTCTCGCCAATCTGAGACCTCACCCCTCACACAGACTCGTTGTCTCCTGTTGCTTAGGTATTCCTCTATCCACCGGAGTACCTTCCCTCTCACTCCAGCCTGCATCTCCAACTTTCGCACTAGCCTCTTGTGTGGCACTGTATCAAAGGCTTTCTGACA